TGCTGTTGTTGTTGTTGCTGCTCTTGTTGTTGCTCAGGGTTGTTGTTGTTGATGCTGTTGTTGTTGTTGTTGCTACTGCTGCTGCTGTTGTTGCTCAGGGTTGTTGTTGTTGATACTGTTGTTGTTGTTGTGTTGCAACTGCTGTTGCCGTTTCTTCTTCTGCTGCTGTCGTTGTCATTGCTGTCGCGGTGTTGGTGGTGGTGTAGGTAATTTTTATAGCATAGATATATTCCCCTGCAGTTTTCTGTAGTCGATCCATCATCCTATACCCAATTAGTAAATAATTGTTATAAATCTCGCATTTTTATTGATTGGGAGCGCGTGCTTTATGAGAGCACACAGCACGCAAGCGCCCTTGTATGTTATAAAAGAAATAAAACGTTTGCTCACTGTGGTAATTGGCACTTGGGGATTGGCAGAACACTCGAGAAGTGTCGAGAAGCACTCTGCTACGTGCTTCTCCTAACACTTCTCTCGTGTTTTACCAATCCCCGTGTGAGTTTATTGACAGCACACAGAACATGCAGGTTAACACAGGCCACCTGCTACATGTCCTAACATTTATTACAGTTCTCATACTACGCTCAACAAAATTACTCGATTCTGATTGGTCAGGATGAGTACATTTAATCGTTAATTGTACTCCGCTTGAAGTTGCCATAGAAATCATATAATAGAATTTTTATATTTATGTTTAAACCAACAAAACATATTTATCCTCTACTTTCACATCCCCATAATACTTTGCATCTTTTGGGGGTAACCAGAGGGTAAAAACCCACTTATTTTGCTGAAGGCTGATCAGACAATGTTGACAATACTTTGTTTGGTATCCAAAAATAAAATGAAGAAAAAACAGAAAAAGATAGAAGCTTGAAGACATTAAGGTAAATTTCCAAAAAAAATTGGTAAGTCAATACATTTTCTGTAAGACCAAAACTCTTCATGATCTGTACACTCAAAAATAACTTGGAATAAACTGATAACCAGTATTGTACAGATAAAAGCAGGTATAGTATAAACTAAATTAAGAAACCTTTCAATTTGGGACAGTTTTTTGATTGGTTACCCCCCAAAGACGCAAGGCATTAAACCGTAGGCCCTGTCTCCCAACCCTTCCTAACCTACAGTAAAATGGGGGACATAAAAGAACCACTGAGGACGTAGAAAGAAACCCTGGCAGTGACCACCCTCAGTGCCTCCACTTCATACTAACCATCTCTCAAGCTTGTAAATTGCATAAAAAGCAATCTGTCATTCACAAATCCATGTAAAGCGCCTTTGATTATATCCACATATTAAAGGGCGCTATATAAATCATAATCATTATCACTCGTCTATCAATAACGAATTGTACTCGTAGCCTTCCAATTTTTCTATACAAAATGTTTAGTTACACTCCGGTTGAGAGCGGAGAGAAAATTCCGGAAAGAAAGCCAATTTTTAAATAAAAAAGGCGCGAGCCATATGTAAGAGCAACAACTCTAATTAAGACAGCATCGACAGCATCGCGACATCCACTTTAAAGGTTATGATAAGTATTTCATTTTGAACTGACAGGACAGTTTTTAACTTTTCGTAATTTGGACCCTTTAGAGAGTTTGTAATCTGTGAACATTTGTATATATATTACATATATGTCCTATTTGGTCAATTTTCGACCAATACCAGAACGCTTTCCCGCAATGAGTTATTAGTTTTAGTCTAAAAACCAGACACGTTTCTACAGCCTTGTCACCGAAAGACATCTGCTTTTGGTCTTCAATAGTAGAAATTCAATTCATCTCAATAACACAGTTATTTATAAATTTCTGTTTACAGAAACTGAACTTCCTTTGTGCATGGTCAAGCGAAGTGCCAGCATCTGATAACAATACGGCCTGAGTAGCGAGAGAAGAGGTTCTGAGTAGCGAGAGAAGAGCTTGCTTTAAGTGCTTATCAGTTGATTCAAGAAAAGACACATTTTTTCTTCTAAACAAGGTAAAGAAGTTACATTTTTTGTTAGGAACTGAAAAGGGGGGGGGAACCCGTCGTTTTTTTACGAGGGTAACACTTAATAGCCAGTGGCTAACAAACCTGTGGCTCTCGTTCCACGATCGGATTGGAATTTAGAAGTTGATTTTTGCGGAGGGAGGAAAACCAGAGAACCCGGAGAAAAACCCTCGAAGCACCGGAGAGAACCAACAAACAACTCTACTCACATAGGACACTGAGCACGGCGGGACTTGAAGCTGGGTAGTTTCGATGAGAGGCGAGCAATCTCGCATCAATGCCACCCGTGATTCCCGAAAAAAAAAGTGAGTTCCAGGAGAAGTCTTATAATCAGGGCTTCAAAATGTTAGGAAATCGCTTCTTTTCTGGCCAGTACCCGATCAAGTTGTGAGTCAGTAAAACGAAATATATGCATGACAAGAGGTTTCATTTCGGAAAAAAAGGGGAGGCGGTATTTCTATCACTTTGCCTGGCCCATGGTATAGACGGAAACCCCTTTAGAGAGAGAATTGACAGAAATGTATGGCTCTGTACGCTTTTGGGTTATTTCACTTCAGATAACACTTGTCGTAAATCACACTGTAAAATGTAACACATTCTGGAATGCACGTCATCTCATTAGCATATTGATATTTCAAATGTTTATATCTTTGAAAACAGAAGACCACATACAAAAATACTGCAACCACACTACTACACTTTTCACATATAAATGATTTTGAAAATAATTTTTTTTCCTTGATGTACACTTTAAATATGAAGAAAAGAAAACGGCCGCAGTTCCTAATTTTGTCTTTGATATTAATCTTCATTGCCCCATTTTCAAACATGATATTTATATTTTATTTTATTTTCTCAGAAAACAGAATCAGTTAACTGATCAGGTGAAAACTGGTCAAACCTGTTTAGCAACACGATGTCGTACCAAGTCCATCCCCGCTCAACCACGTGGGTTGTGCTAGAGTCTATTGCCTTGGTGACGTTAAACATTATCATCTTCTTCGGAAATTTCATAATTTGTCTCGTGATTTACAAAAGCAAACGTCTACGAACGATGACAAATATGCTTGTGGTCACTCTGTCGATCAGTGACTTGATAACTGCCTCTATCACCTTACCTATGGCGGCTGCTACATCGATCCTCAGGCGATGGATCTACGGATCGATTGGATGCCAGGTGTTCGGGTTTTGCAGCAAGTATCTGGTGCATGTTTCTTTATATATAATAACCCTTATTGCCCTAAATAGATACGTTCGTATCATCAAGCCTTCTTTATACAAGAAAGTTTTCACCCTCAGAAGATCTGTAGCACTTTTAGCGTTCATTTGGGTTATGCCTGCCTTGGTTCGTATAATACCAATCCTGACTTCCTCAGCACGGTTTGTCTTCGTTTCGCACACAGCAACGTGTATTCTCGCGTTCTACGAGAAGAAGTCCCAGTTCCCTTACACAGTGTTCGCAACACTCGTCTTCATCGCGCTTCCAATGTTGGTTATTATAGTCTGCTATGCCGCTGTGACGCGACACGTGCGCAAACACAGACAGCGCATATCAAGTGTTAGAGGAGACCAAGGAGATTTGGGTGTCAGTATCGAGGAGGTGAAAGTAACTCGCACTTTATTCGCCCTGGTGTTCACATTTATACTGTGCTGGCTCCCTGTGTCTGTGGCGCTTATATTCGTCAAGTCAGCCACAGGTAGCATCCCAACACTAGCAGCAAGAGTGCTGAGCTGTTTGGTTGCCCTTAGTAGTGCCAGTACCCCGTTTGTCTATGGCGTGTTAAACAGACCTTTCAGGAAAGAATTCAAGAAAATACTTCCACTTTGTTGCAGGGGTAATAGAACCTTCGACAGTGAGTCTGCGTGGAACCTGGGGCTTAACGCACGTGATTCGGCAAGGAATCGTCAGGGGCCTGGAAACCAGTCTTCAAACTCTGCTGAAAATAAATGTAGCCCCTGAACTGCATTTTGAACACCCTTAGTTACACCCTTAGTTACACTGAACGACTCGTTGAGTCAAGAGCTTATCTTATGCTTCTTAGCCAATGAGAGGAGAAAACTGTCAAGTGCCCTAGAAACAAACGACCAATGGAAATGAACCAAAGATACACTGCGAACGAGCAAAGAAGAGCAGAACGCTCAAGTGCCTGAGGAGAAAGCTTAATCAAGTGCCCTAGAAACAAAAAGCTGATGAAAGCCAGGTACACTGGGAATGAGCCAATGAGAGCTTCTGCCCTAGAACCAAACAGCCAATGGAAACCAGCCAGGTAACTGGGAATGAGCCAATGAGAAAAGAAGTACGCTGAAGTGAGCTAGAATATTCCCCCGTATAACTCTAGGATGTACCTAGAAAAGTTAAACATTCTTTCCTTTGCTGAACTGTTACTATGTATGGCAATCGTCAATAATCATTTTAATCAGATGTGATTGTGGGGGGTGTAAAATATTGTATCAATTTATTATAATTACTTATCTCTCATAACTTTTGGTACTACTATAAATGCCCATAAAGGTCTCCCGCTCATATTTTATCTATTACATAAAGGCCATGTTCCTGAATCTGGATTCTTGTAAGTATAAATAAAGACTTAGAACAATGTTCTTGTTCACTGTAGTCATTTATAACAAGGGGATTCTGTCCTAAAGCCCTGTTTACACTGGCGATTTTTGCGGCAATTTTCGGAAATATGAAATCTTTTGTCTCATCCTTCAAAAGAGACATTCGTCTAGGGAAAATCCTGGTATCCTGAAAAGACTTTACAAGGACATTCTTTACCATTATTTATTATGCAAAAATAATATGACTCGTAATACCTCAAAAATGACTTAAAACATTTTATTAACRGCATTCATCTGAACTAGACACATTTACAAGCATTTCACTATAGTATTCTAATTTGAAAAGGCCATATTAACAGGCAGGGGAGGGGGATACAGACATCATAACCATTTCTATATGGGACAGAGATGGGGGGAGGGGAGGGGGGCATGTTATTTTGATTAAGGTTTGTTTTTTCTTAATCTTCCAACTAGATTTTTTACTTAGTTTAGTATGTACAACATCATCAAAAAATCCCAAATAGATAAAAGTATTTCTTATGGGTGTGAAGTGTCTAGGCATGAAGTAGTAATGTTAATATGAAACAAAATTACTGTGGTATGCAACAAACTGTGAACAATTCCACAAGTTATTGATTTCTTTTTGGCAACTTTTAATTGTGCTATCTACTGTTTACCAATTAGATATCAGCATTTCACTTTGATGTTTTTACATGGATATACCAAGTCTGCCTCAAAACATTTGCACAATAGGTCACTTGGCATTACAGCATCATATACTACCACTACCATAATCCCTTGCACACTTTCTTTTGATCAGTTAATTAGCACCAATTGTCACAATAATTTGAATAAGGAAATTTGCTAAGCATTTTGCTGTGGTAATAATGCATGCAAAGGGCTATTAAAAGTTGTCAAAAGAAATGTGTGTAGCACATACAATGAGTGGCACAGTAAGATATGGACAGGCATGCCTAGAATACAAGGTTCTTCACACCCATATAAAACACTATTATAATCTTAAAACATTTTTGTCTCAATATTGTGTTTAGATTTTTGCAGACAGATGTATCTAGTACATAATGTTAATTCATGTGATAGAGTCTTTGCAGATAAAATACAGCACACTGCATCTGTCATTCTCTGTACAACTAATAATAATGATAATAATAATCATTACTTATAATTATTATTATTACTAATAATGATTAGTAACTATTTTTGTCAGAGCTATAGTTTAAACTTTAAGCCCTTTGCCTGTGATTTCCTGTCTGAGGGAAAACCCAACACATGAAGAATCCCATGTTAGAAGGTTAGTTTTGAGTTTAGTCTTCATTAACGTATCCTTGTGTCAAATCAGGTTACAAGAAGTAATCTGGAGTTCGTCTTGTTACGTGAGGTTCTCCTCTTCTGGGGGCTGGATCAAACTGCAGACTATCAAAGCAGATGATGAATGAGTTTAGTAGTTGAAAAGAATTTAAAAATTGTGTTGATTTTTTTTAGGTCCAAAAATTCTAAAACAAAGCATACACTTAACATATAGATCTTTACCGAGTGACAAAAACACATTTCATAGAGCAGAAAATGTTCACTTTTGACAAAAAATCTCGTCTCGAAAAAATAAATCTTTATGAAACTGCACTTTGTTTTGGACCAGAAATCATTTTTTGGTGTCACAATGGATAAGGTGCTTTTTGATGAGTGCTTGACAAGAGTGCTGTAAATTCAGATATCTATAATGTATCTCTTAACTGTCTTGGAAATGGAGCAGTTTTTATGGGGCTGGAAAGGATATCACAGATTTCAATTTGCACCACAACTTGCCATAATCGTAATTATGCTTAGTGACTGGCTGTAAAACAATGGGTAGCCATTGCAGTGTTAAGGAATGATGTAACAGGGTTTTCATTAAGAGTCAGATCTCAGAGAATGCTTCAAAACTAGGCAAAATTCTCTGGCTTGAACTACCATGATCTTCTCCTATTATTTCAAAACTGAATAAAAAACCTGCCAGGACTTTCGGTCTACATGTAGTTCATGATCTTCTCCAGGTATTTCTCACAACTCTATAACTAAATTGCACAACATCGTTTTACTTACAATGAGTATTTCAGAGCATCATCTAGTTCCATTATTGCAGCTTGGTTACCGCATCTGTAGCAGTAGTTGGGCGCACTGAATATGGTCACTACATTTCTGTCATGACACCAGTTGTATCCCTGAAACGTAAACACAAATTTCAGGAACTCTGATTTACATGATACCCCTCCCCCTTTAATTATTTCAGGTGGAAGTAAAATCATTGCAAGCATATGGAAATATCTTACCTCCATTACAAGCTGGTGAGCTCTGGCAATCAATGTCAGTCCATTTGTGTGGTTAAATGTTTCAGATATATCCTGACCAAAAGTGTAGCCGGCACCTCTTGGGGATATACCCCAACCGCCACGATCATCTGGATCACTCCATAACAGATCACACATGGGTCCCTAAAACAGTCAGATTTTTAGGGAAACAATGAATACTTTAGATGGAAGAATAAACATATATCCATGATTATTTCATATAAATACTATTGAAAAACTGTCACCGGCAATGCCTGATTGGAAAGAAGAGTGAAACACACCCAAAATACAACTTAATAGTTTTCTAATATATTCTGATTGGGTGTATTTTCAATAGCGTAGGAAAGATGGAGGTAGGGGGTCAGCCATAGTTTTCTTACGAGAAGCTTAGTAGTGTCCTCATTATTGCAGAATTCTTTCATAGATTCCCTCAATAGATGTGTAAGTTTGTAATCATTGGACACAACATATTTCTAACGATAAGTAGAGAATGCTTAATACAGTCTTACTAACCTCATGTGGAACTTCCTGTATTCTGTCAAGGGCTCTTATGTGATCAAGGGTGTCTATGGATGGGGATAGTCCACCGTGTAGACAAAATATCTTTTGTTAAAATACAAAAAGTAAACTGTATGAGTAATATTATTATGCATAAATGTAATTATTGTTAAAATAGGTTTGTATATCTTCCCATGAGAATACTACCAAAACAGGTAGAGTGTGGATTTGACTCAAAAAGCACTTGTTTTACTTCACATTCATAATGTCTCAACACACATTCCTGAGCCCGGGGCAGTTAATTAGCTTTGAACTTTGAGCCTGTGGTCAGTAACCATCCAATTTGAATCTTAACATCAGAGTTAAAATGGTGCTCTGTGCTCAGGAATGTATGCATCGGGCTTTAGGAATGTAGAGTCAAACAAATGCTTTTTGACGAGTCAAATCCCACTCAACCTGTTTTGGAATTAAAAGGACAAAAGATTGTACTTCCATGTTACTTGAACAAATAATTTTTGTTCAAGTTAACTAATATGGTAGCTATGTCGTCACATGCACCTCAAGAATCAAAGAGAAAGAGGGATCTACAGGACTTACTTGATTATCAACAAGTGCAGTAAGCGGGAGGTAATCGAACAGGTCTGTGAAATACTTCCATACGCTAGCATTGCCATATTTACGTAAACATTCATCATAGAAACCATAAACTTGAGTAATCTGTCGACTTTCATGGTTGCCACGCAGGATTGTGATGCGATGAGGGAATCGAACCTAGTAAAATAAAACGCCACTTTCAATATCTTTCAGCTGGCTGATGCAACTAATGTATACATGACAGTAATAGCAAACTCACCTTCAATGTTACTAACAGTGTTACAGTTTCAACAGAGTAGTATCCTCTGTCTACGTAGTCACCCATGAAGAGATAGTTAGTATCTGGAGACCTGCCGCCTATTCTAAATAATTCCATGAGGTCGTGAAACTGTCCATGAACATCGCCGCAGACCGTAACCGGGCATTTTACATCTTGCACATTGGATTCTTTACTCAGGATTTCCTTCGCCTAAAACGTATAAAATAAGAAAATATGGCTCAGGTCAAACGTCACACTTAACATAAGTTGAATGCATTGAAAACAATGAATAAGATGGGGATCTTCCTAAGTTTGACATTTGTATTCAGCCTAAGTGATAAGTAAATGACATTGTACCTTGAAAACATTGGGAAAATAAAATGAAATTTTGTAAAAATCCTAGCAATATGATACTGCAGTGGTTTTATATTTAATATTTATTTACTATTAATGATTACCATAGCGTTAGGGATTGAATTTGATTGAAAAGGTGTCAATTCAGCAATTATCAATGTCACATGATATATTTGATGTCATTAACTTTGTTGCAAAGATTACATTACAATTTTACATAATCTATACTTGATAAAAAATACAAAATGGTATATGTACGAAGGGGAATCAAACATATTCTCTACACTTAAAGAATACCAACAAGAAAAAAACTGGTTCAACAGGAAACGCAGAGCATTTCACGATCAACAGTCAAAATTTCCCAACCAAAATCAATCTGTAAAATTTTGCTCTGTTTCCACTGCAAAATTCATGGTACGAGATACGATATTATTTAATAAGAATCAAATGAATGCAACACAGAAAAGGAAGATCAATTCATGTAAAAATATCCTGTTTTGTAAAGGATGCTTTCAAAATTCAAGCCGAATACACAACGGCTACAACGCGAACTACCACAGATAAAAAAGGCAAAATAGCGATTACCAGTAAGTTATATTCCGCTTTGACAAAACTATAAGAAAAGCACATGTTTGCACAGCTAAGTTCAAGACCTTTTCTTAACCGATTTACCTTCTCGCAGAGAGTTTTGACTTGAGCCTCCGAAAGCTGTTTGCATTCCATAAGCTGTTCTATCCATTGCTCTAAATCTTTAGCATTGGTTTTATCATCCACCATGTTGATGTATTCCCTTCGGAAACCAAGAAAAATGTTGTTGGGTTATTAATTTGTTTAGTAGTGAAGTGTTTTGGTGTTCAATTTGAAAAAAAGGTAGTAAAAATCCGCCGTGATTTGAGGAGGTTTTGATGTCGAGTGAAGAAAGTATGGCGGACCAAATGCTGCGCTAACGTCAAACAAGGCCGGTCTGTCGAGCACATGCTACGCAATACTCCTTATATGGAAGAATATACCATATATGGAACACAAGCTGCGCTAGGTTCCTTATCAATACAGGGACATTCTAGACTTGGTACGAACAACATTCAAAAACTTATAGTACTTTTTTTTATAAATTACATACTGTATATATCAAAATATATCATATATTGTATAGGATTTATAAATTACTTAGCTATAGCCACAGGCTGTCAAAATATAGGTTATAAATTCTGATTGCGAAAGGTTCCTAACAGAGCTATTTTAGTCTGGGTACGAGAAATTCTATGAAATAAAAGGAGAATCTCAATAAATTAAGAAATACAAATAATTATATATTTTATTAGAACAAAGATAATATTTTAACTTGAATTTTTTTAATTTCTCTTGGGTGTCAAAATAGTTTCCATGCTCTTGTTCATGAGGCGCTATCCTTGCCAGGTGGGCTCCCTCTGTTATTGAGATATTTATTTTTAAAAATATTTTATGTAATTTCATTTATAATAGAAATAGTGTGATAATTACCTAATTAATCTAATTTAATTTTTCTTAAGAATAGAGAGAAAAGAGAGAATATGTTATGAAATCAGAAGAAGGGCCTTCTCGTCAAGTACCTATCGTAAATTGTCCCACTACCATGGTCCTTCCACATGCATGCATTATCTGGTCCCAAACATAAACATCAAAATAGCGATCGAGCTGGTTCATTTGAAAGTGGTTTCCTCCTTAAAAAGTAGGTGTTAAAACTTTTTCTAACTATTAATTCATGTTATCTCTGATCCATATTACCTATCGGGAGTTTATGCTTTAAAAACTCGAGGACAATATGATAAGTTTTCTTTGCTTAGTTGGTGGGATGTTGTTGTTTTATGGGCTTGGCTGCATAACTTTATTTGTTCGGATAAAAAAWATATATATTGGGTTATATTAAGGTTGTAAGTTACTCAAATAATTGTCATTCGATACCTTGTTCTTATTTTTCATTTATTTTGGGGTTTTGATTTACATAGATGATATTTATTAGTTTTACAAGTATTATATTTTGCAAACGTAATGAATCTTTCCATAAATTTGCAACCTATCCTGCACATCCAGATTTAAAAGCTGAGCTGAACTGAAGCTTTTCTTGGCTCGTCGCATCCTATTTTCGTTTTCATTTGATGTAAAATTCACTTATCATGGCTTTCTATAGAGGCAGATGTACAGGCACGGCTTATATTATTTTGTGTGTGCTTTATTTAAAGCAAAATTAATTAGTTTTGCATATTGTTTTCTCATATAGGTATGCTTTAATTTCCTGGTGATTGCAATAACCACACCTCCCACACTAAAGTCCTTTGCTTCAGCATTTCAACATAAAAAGCTATTGAATTTCTTAGACAATTTTGTTATAGAACACTCAGTGACAGTATCAAACAGATATGAAATATGAGATATACAGTATTATGCTTAGAGCGCAAATACTAAATCCATGAAATAAAATCAAAATTGTTATCACATAATTATAGCTTTAGTGGCTATTTCACTGTCGTAATATCTAATGCCCAAGAGAGCTYGTTATCACTTTACTGAGCTGCATTTTCCTAGCAGTCTCTTGTGTATTAGATGACAACAGTTCTGGTTGAGCATCATAATAGCAATTAATAGTGACTAATAGCCATAGCACAACAAGTTTATATATTATGCACTAAAAATATTTTATCGTAAGACACACTCAGAAAAAAATTTGGCTGCTTTTACTCGTAAAATTATCCTGCTGTAATACACAACTAGCAGTGTAATAACCTCTATTCATTTGATTGTTTAAGTGCATGTTCACACTTTATATAGCTATCTAGATAGGTAACCTTTTTATAAACACAATAAAATTTAAATCTCATAGCTAGTGGGGTTGTGATGATTACAAATGTAATGCATGTTTTCTCGTTCAAGTTATCAAGGTACCTACCAGAGTTCGAGTGACAGATCATGGCATATCCGTATGGTGGACCAGGTTACCCACCTTCAGGAGTAAGTACAGAATACAGTGGGCAGTGTTTGCATGTCATCGTAGGCTAGTAATGAGATTCATTCAGCTAGTTGATACCAAGCAATAGAATACTCTCTGGTTGATAGCACATGACGGGCAGTGTTTGCATGTCATCGTAGGCTAGTAATGAGATTCATTCAGCTAGTTGATACCAAGCAATAGAATACTCTCTGGTTGATAGCACATGATGGGCAGTGTTTGCTTGTCATCGTAGGCTGGTAATGAGATTTAGCTGATTGATACCAACAAGCAATAGAATACTCTGGTTGATAGCACATGAAGGGCAGTGTTTGCCTGTCATTTTAGGCTGGTAATGAGATTTGTGAGATTCATTCAGCTGATTGATACCAAGCTTTGCTTTATCCTTTTTCAGCCAGGATATCCTCCAGGCGGTGATGGCGGCTATCCACCAGCACCAGGGTATCCACCAGTTGGAACTGGCTACCCACCCCAAGGTGGTTATCCTCCAGCTCCAGGGGGCTATCCACCTCCTGGGGGCTACCCTCCAGCTCCAGGGGGCTACCCTCCATCCTCGGGAGGCTACCCTCCAGCTCCAGGGGGCTACCCTCAACCAGGCGGGTATCCACCACCAGGAGGTTACGGCTCAGGTATGTGTGTATCCTTCTTTGAAAGCAATTTTATTATGTAATAATAATAATTATATACCCCTTACAATGCAATTATTAAGAAAAAACGTTCATGGATTTGTTTCTTTATTGTCACAGGTCCCCCACCCCCAGGGGTAGCACCAGGATATGGATCCCCCTCACCCCAGCAGCCATATGGAGCACCCCCTTCCCATGGTGGACAGCCATATGGTGGACCCCCACCTCCTGGTGGTCAGTCATATGGAGCGCCAGGGGGATACCCTGCACAGCCACAACAACCGCCACAACAGAGCTATGGCATGCAACAGCAAGGAGGACATGGTCAAATTCCACGTAAGATATCATCAGTTTCATAGTACAGTAAATTGRATATTTGCTTACCTCAACTACAATGGTTTAAGCTTGTGAACTACAGCATTATTACAATGTAGCTTACAGTGGGGTCTGAGGCCCCTATATCTCAAGCCCCTTGGTGACCAGGGGAACGTTTCAAGATTAATAGGGGTTCAAAATATCTGGAGGGTAAAATGTAACAATACAAGTCTTTTGTGAAATAATTGTCTTATACTGTAGTATGTAAGCTGAGTTGGTTGGTCCTCTTTCTGAGTCCAAGGGTTTCTCTTGGTTTCTGGATTTTCCTCCCTCCTCTCAAACCAACCCAAACTAGTTAGAGCTATGCTGTGGGTAATACATGAAATGTACAGCAGTTGCCAAAGGTGCCTTCTCTTTACTTTCATTCTGACCCCCTTGAGTTGCACCACTGCTGTATACTTGTGGAGGTCAATAGTGATAACGAGATAATAAGGATAGTATGACATGATTTATTTTTTATTAACTTCAGCTCTTTATTGTGCATTAAAAGACAGGGCAGAAAAATGGGTTCTACTTTCGATGCTTATGCATAAATAAGCTTTAAATGTTTCATAAACAGGCTCTTTTTGGGCTGATTAACAAATTACCAAAATTTGGGGAAAGTTAAAGGAATGCGTATTTGAGATATAACACCCTGAATGTTGGGAGAGATGATATTTTGATCAGCACAAAAACTAACATTTTTGCTAATACCTCGAAGTAGAATTGCTTGAGGTTCATAGAATTTTGTGAAAAGTTTAAAGCACAAGAGACAYGAATGAAACACTAAACGTTTTTTAGCATGAATGAGAGATAAAGAAAAAATTGCGAAAGTAGCAGCCTTGTCGTTTTTCTGCTCTGTCACATTAAAATATTTTTWAAATATGATATTGCCACAGCACCTTCTAGTGCACCAGTTCATCATTCAGCGCCAGCCCCAGCACAAGATCCAGCTCCTGCAAAGGCACCCGCGAGGCCACCACCACCATCAGCCGTAAGTAAAATATTCTTTGAAACCATTCCAACACTTGAGACTTTGAAAGAAATGTGTGATTTTTATCTTGAGAATGAAGTTCCTTGTTTGATTTTTATTTATATCCATGATCATGTGATATCCTGTTTTTACTTAATTTTTTCTTCAGGGTGGTAGTGCCCCACCAACTTCGCAGATGGCTTCCATGTCTATTACAACTACAGTAAGTATTCAATCATTTTATTATTCTCTTATATAATGAGGGCTTTACTGTATGCTAAAATGATGGAATTTAATATCTTAGTATAGTACAGAATAGTACAAAACAGCACTTACAGTATGGTCTGTAAAGTAATCTGGGTTGAAGATGTTGCCTTTGCTCTAAAAATAACTGCAAATTTATGGTTAGACCTTCACTGTGACTTACATTGGATTACCAATTAAAATACATTGTGTTTGCATCTCATTTAGAGACCTTAAATATAAAGGGCCACATTATTAATTCATACGTTGTGACTGTCAAGTGTCACTCTCTCTATATGTATAGTGGTTAATAATGTTTAATTGTACTGTAGCGATATGGACATCCAACCATTGTGGCAAAATCACCATTTGATGCAGAAGCTGACTGTGAGCTACTGAGGAAAGCAATGAGAGGAGTTGGTATGTAATAAAGTGAATATAGTTTTGTTGGTCATGAGAAAAACCCTCGGGTGTCTCAGGTTTGATTCATGGATTTGCCATGACACATATGTAAGCAGAGTTTGATAGGCCTCCCCCTTCATTTGAGAGTCTTTCTCTGGGTTCTCTGGTTTTCCTCCCTCTGCAAAACCTAAAATGCTAAATTCCAACTCAATCTGTGAGTTAGCTATGCCTTGACTTTGATAAGTGTTGAGATTGTTTCTTGGTATTGATGAAATTTGAAGATTTTTTGGAGGYTATTATATATTTGTCCAACTAGTTTTTTTTGATACTAAAACAATTTTTTATTTATTCAATATGGATCAAATTATTATTTATTACTTTCTTGTGTTTCTTATCCAGGAACTGACGAGCAGAAATTGATCGAAATTATTGCTCAAAGATCAAATGCGCAGCGCGTGGAGATAAGAAAGAGATACAAAACAATGTATGGAAAGGATTTGATGAATGATCTCAAATCTGAGTTGAGTGGAAACCTTGAAGACTGCCTTCTTGCTATGCTTGAACCATCTGCTCTCTATGATGCCAAATGTCTTAGGAGAGCCATGAGGGTAAGGCTACCTTAGTACAATAAACTACTACAATATTAGAACATGCGTAATAGTTACATTACGAGCCTTGTATGAAACGACTGAAGAAGAGGACCAATGGGCCTTTCACAACTTCAAGTCAAGGAAAAAAGTGAGCGAGCTCAACTAGAAACTGTGGACAGCATTTTTCATGCGACTTCAAGTGGTGAATATTCACAAAAACCATTGTCTACTATTTTTTCAGGGTGCTGGCACAGATGAGGAGACTTTGATTGACATCTTGTGCACGAGAACCAACAAGGTAAAAACTTACTAATCTTATTTGCAGCTGATATCTTTTATTATCTTTTCTGTGCCCTGACTTAGATCAGAGCTGCTCCCAGTCAGGCCCCGTCCACACTATGCCGGGTAAATTTGAATCCACAACTTTCACACCGAAACCGAAAAAAAAGTTTTCCATCCACACATGAAAACGGATAAAATGTTTTCGTGAGGCAGCAAAAACACTTCATTGCACATCTGAGCATGTGCATCGAAGCTGAAATTGAGCCCACAGTGAATTTTTAGCCTTCCCGCCATGTTCCCATGACAATCACAAAGTCATCATATTCCAAAAATTTCAGTTACCAAATGTTCTCCRTCCACACTAATACGGCTAGCTGGGATTTTCAAATTGTTCCACTCTGGAGACCATATTTGAAAAAATTCGTTTTCGGTGAAGAATTGTTCCGGATTCGCCCGGACTAGTGTGGACGGTAGGCATAACCGAATAAATAAAAATTCGGATTCAAATTTATCCGGCATAATGTGGAGGCCCCAGTTTGTTTCTGGTGGTTTTGTCCCCCCCCTCCCCCCACACAACAGGACTGCCATAAAACGCAGTAACATTTATTTTGATAAATCGATAAAATGTTTTTACCTGGCAGTAGAAAGTTGATTTTTCACATGTAACAACATAATTTATCTTTTTATCTTGGATAGGAAATTGAAGCAATTAAGCAGGCCTACACTGACTGTGAGTAAATAAGCTGTAATATTTTTTAAGAGGAAGCACATAAGGCCCCACATAAGACTCTAAATGGAGGGAGGGGGAGGGGGGCAAAAATTGTCCACCCCACTTCTCTGTACTCCCTGTATTGGTTCCCTGTATTTAGTTAATGCATCTGTACCACAATAGACAAATGAGTGGATGATAACTAGTATARAATTGGTGTAGACTGCATCGGTGTTTCTGAATAAAAAAGTAGGAACTTATTGATAAATTGAATCACTGTAAGTAGCTTTGACTGACAATTCGGATGTTAGTCCTTTGTCGGAGTAAGACGAAGGACTAATGTGCGAAACGTCAGTTTAACAAAGCTTCTTACGGTGATTCAATTTATCCATGAGTTCCTACTGTACCATAATAGACATTGGTACAATTAATGTTTTCATTAGATTACAAGCGTGATCTTGAGAAGGATTGCGTCAGTGAAACAAGTGGTCACTTCAAGAGGTTATTGGTGTCCATGTGTCAGGTATGTAACATAACTTGTTGCATTATGAGGTAATGACCAGAAAATAGTCCCCTTCACAGTTACCGGCGCCATCATGAAAGGTGCCTTTACATCAAACCGTGACAAATGGTGAGCTTGCAATGATAGAGACCTGTTTTTAACACCTTGAACAATTATTCACATGTTCAAGCTCACCCTTTGTCTTGCTTCGATGCAAAGGCCCGGCTACGTTTCAAGATGACGTTGGTAACTGTGAAGGGGACTATTGCAGCGGATTAACCACATTTCGATGGCCAGGTCAAACATCATCATTTAATGAAACCACAATACAAACTACAGTATCCTCTGAGTCCCAGTAAATTAGTATGATTTTTTTCAACATTTATTTCTACTATATTTGGAATTTGTAAATCCAGAAAATATCCATACCTCCACCATGGAGAAAATTTGTAAAAGGACCCCCCTACCCCCAGGAACTTTGTTCTTTGTCTAACCCCCTATCCACTCCAGAATTTCCAATTTCCTCTGTTGGTGGGGTATGGATATTTTCTGGAACTACACTGTGCATACTAGCATGAATTACAGTTTTTTCCATTAATAAATAATCATTTATTCGCAATGTTGCAGGCCAACAGAGATGAATCAACAACAGTGGACTTGGAAAAGGCCAAAAAAGAAGCACAAGACTTATTCACTGTAATTAATAATTTAATAATATTACTCAATTATATTTGACGATTATTCGCCAAAAGCAATGTGCACATCAGGGAATATTTACCAAGCTGTGAGTCCACTCTTCGAGTGCCAAGGTATATATTTCCTTTATTCACTGAGCCTGAGGTGAATAATTGTTTTAGTATAACTCTACTAGTATTAATAGTATTACTATTAATATACATTAATAATAGCTTTGCTATGCATGCTGTGATTGGTTGAGAAATGTTATTTCATATATTCATTTCTTCCTGCATAGAGCAGTTTTCATATGACTGTGAAAAAGTTGGTACCATATGCATGGTTTTTTTTTTCTTGTGCAATGTGATTGGTTGGACAGTGCTGTGACATTGGTGTGACCATGTCCACGCCGTGTTCCGAACTGTGTTTCAGACATTTTATTTGATGAAGTGTAAATTCTCGTGCAATGTGATTTGTCTGGCGTATGCCTTGCCGTGTCATGACCGTGTTCATGCCGTTATCTTTTCACAGTCATACGAAAACTGCTAAGCAGAAAAGAGCATGTACGACAGTGTTCCTTCAACTGATCATTTTATCTTTTTTGTGTTTAGGCTGGTGAGAAGAAGTGGGGTACAGATGAGTCTCGCTTTAATGTGGTCTTGGCCAGTAGAAGCTTTGCACAGTTAAGAGCTACTTTTGATGAATATGTGAAGGTCAGCTCTTTCCTCAACATTTTAATAATTAATATTTCTAATTTATTATTTATGATAAATGTTATTCTTGGCTGAATTAAATTATTTTGTCATTTTCCCTTTTTTTCTTTTATTTCAGTTAAGATTTGGCCAAACATCTTTTTTTTTTTTTCCTTTCTCTTTTTTTCACCTGTCGTTGCAAAAGTGGCCTTGTACATGTTCTGAAATTGTAATATCTTGTTATAAGTGTAGTGTGTGCCATGATCAGGCAAAGAGTCATATTATTCTTAACTAATGGTATATATAATACCCTGGGTGCAGAAAGTATTTTCTTTCCTTGACATTTTTTATTTAATTTTTCATATTGTGAAATATAATTTTTTTTCAATTCTGTATTTAGTTCTAACGTGATTTTGTTCTGACTTAAAAGATTTCGCAGAGAGATATTCTGAACAGTATTGACCGTGAAATGTCAGGTGACCTCAAAGCAGGATTCAAGTGCATTGGTAAATATCCACTAATTTAAGGGATCTTTTATTTTTTACTGGGTTGGGGGATGGGGGAGTGGGAGTTGAAAGGGAGGGGGGGTCATTAAAAAATCTGGTTCAAGGGTGGTGGGGTGGGGCTATACAAATAAATTCGAACCCCACAGCATTTTGTTAAAAAAAAGGGAATGGAAAAGAAGAGAGAAAGAGAAGGGGGTCAGATTTCTTGTTTGGGTTGAAATGCAAATACCACCGCCTTCTCCCCTCTCTCCCTCCTGGATAAACAAATTAAACACAGAGTTGCTTCTAGCTGTACGATGTATATAATGTATATAATCCATCAACACTGCCTGATTGATTTTATGTATTTGAATTTAGTTCAGTGCGCACGTAACCCTGCTGAATATTTTGCTGACCGTTTGTGGAAGTCCATGAAAGGTGCTGGTACGAATGATGGCCTGCTGATTCGTGTCATTGTCTCACGTTCTGAGGTGTGTATAACCACATCTCATCTTTTCTTTGAATCACCATACCTATTTTTATATTTAACTCTTAATTTAGGGAATTAAAGGTCGAAAGGCACACACTTGCCTCTCAAATCTGGGGTCTTGACTCAGCTGCACACATGAGCAGAGTTTGTTAGCTCTTTCCCTTGCCGGGGGGGGGGGGGGGGGGTACTCCCCTATATACTACTCTGGAACAGGGTATATAAAATCGCACTTGCTCTGGGACAGGGTATATGAAATCACAATCTCTCCTGCACTACTCTGCAGCAGGGTATGGTTTTCGGCGATCTTACTCTGGAACAGGGTATGAATTTCAGCGATTTTACTCTGGAACAGGGTCAGGGTTCAGAGGGCTCAGGAGCACATCCCTAAGCTAAACCAGCAAGAGTAACCCCCCCTCCCCCCAGGTTCCCATGATTCTATCAATTTTCTGATCAGGGTTTCAGTTTTCCTCCCTCTATGAAACCTTGCATGCTACACATGAATTCCAATTCAATCTGTGAGTTAGCTATACCCTGACTTAGATCAGCCCCGAGATCGTTTCAGGGTTCAATCTGTGAGTTAGCTATATCCTGACTTAGACCAGCCCGGAGATCGTTTCAGGGTTCAATCTGTAAGTTACAGTAGTTGATTAGTCCCGAGGTTGTTTCAGGGTATTGATAAAATTTGAAGGTTTTTACAACAATCTAATGTATAACATTCTAGACGTCTGGCTTTTTCACTTCTATGAATCGAACTTCTAACAGTCTGGGTTTTAATACTTAGTATTTTTAGCATTATAACTTTCATTCTTGTTTGCATTTTGCAGATTGATCTGGTAGAAATAAAGCAAGCCTTCCTACAGAAGTACCACAAAACCGTGTACAAGATGATTGAAGGAGACTGCAGTGGTGACTACAAGAAGCTACTGTTTTCCATTGTTGGGAGAAACTAGATCCATGAAAATAGCATTAGTAGTTTATAGTAGAGGGGGACATTTACAGCCTCTAAGAAGCGTCCTAATTTGAAGATGTACCTGTACCTATCCTCCTAGCTCCTAAATGGCACATACGGTCTTCACAGAGCTTTTCCACTTTTCCTTGTCACCATTTCCTTTTATATACATTAGCCTCTAGACCTTTGATAATTACTTCTAAATCATCTTAAAAATACCTGTCTTCCTGCAACATGTTTGTTTTCAATAGTCCCCTTCACAGTTCCCTGTGCCTTTGCATTGAAGTGAGACAAACGGTGAGCTTGCAATGATAGAGACGTGTGAATAATTTTTCAAGGTCTCTATCATTGCAAGCTCACCATTCGTCTCGCTTCAATGCAAAGGCATGGCTACCTTTCAAGAAGGCGCTGGGAACTGTGAAGGGGATTTAATTGTGTCATCAGTCAAGGTCAATAGACCTTTCTCATGTAGCTGCCATCTTGGCTGAAACAATTTATTTTTGCCCATCTGGCCTCACATTCAAGCACTTCAGGATAAGTTTGAAAGGATAAGCAAAGGCTTGATTCTTGCTGGGAATAAACATGGCTGCTAAGTGACAAAGGTCTATCACAAGCTGTCCCTTTGACATCTGCTACAAGGTTTTATGTGCTCCTCTACTATCTCATCCTCGGAAACCCAGGGGTAAAATTCTGTAGCTTTTTTTCTTATTTTTTCGGGTAGATAGAAACGAGCGACACAATTTTACCCCTGGGTTCCTGAGGAAGCTACTAATTATGATAGGTTAAAATTGCAATGGATATCTAATAATAATTACACACCGTACCATTTCAAAATATTTCATTAGTTTATAATGACATAATAATCTAAACTTTTAAATTTTCTATTATGCACAAAAAAGGAAACTTTTAGGAAACTAGTTTTTCTTTACTGTAGGCAATTAATTCAATCCTTATTTTATTCATGTAGCTTATGTATTTTGATGTTGATTGTCTTAGTAAACTACGACTTAAAAATAATGCATTTGAATGTATGAATATTTGTAATGATATAGTTGTATGCATGTTAAATGCAAACACAATTGTATTTGTATTTAGTACTATAAATATTCAGAACATTTTGACAGCTGTCAATCTGCTTGGGAATGATGTTGAGATAATACATTCAACAATAGCACATTTTAGATTCTAAACACGCTTGCACTTTAAATATTAAACTTCTTTTTGAGGGAGGGGAGGGTGCTTTAAGTTTTAGTCCTACATCGTATCAATAAACTATTACAACTGTATTTTAAGTGGCTAGGCTTAGTTTCAGCAATGAGGGTGTTATTCGCAGTAAACCTCCCCCCATTCAGGCAAGTGGGGAGACCCTGATTATGCAGTGACTTGGAAACCACCACACATGGTGATCAAGCCTAGGGGCGTTAGTCTATGAAATTTTGCAGGTCGTCAGTAATCCTATATGAGACTGACCTTGATGAGACTCAAAGTTTTGTGATGAACGTGGACACATCATATCTCTGATAAATTTATCCTCATTAAGATCTTTTGAAAATTAATAAGGTTTTTTATCAGGTATAAAGTTCCATGTATGTGAAGTGTAATGGAAGCTCCAATTTTACCAAAGGCTTATGAATTATTCATGAGTTTCTAAGATATATTGATTTTACCTCTTGTGGTTTTTAAATATACATGTATTGTTTCACACCATTTGATCATATTTAATTTATAATCATAATTTATTTACTTTTTTCTTGATACTTTTTTATCAAAAGTACAATGTTCTTCTGATTTTGGCATTAAATTATAATGACAGAAGCTGTCAAGGGAACGATATAAAACACAAAATTTATGAAAAAAGAATAGCAATAAAAAAGGCATATCTATCAGGGAAAGAATAACTTGGAACGTTACTGGCCAACATTTACAATTGTCTAACCATGCACCAATCTCTGCTTCATAAAATGTTTCATCATTATCAACTTTACAAGATTTTTTATTACATCGATGTATAATATAATTTTTAGTGTGCAATATGTAAAACATGGTTGGTAAAATAACTGCCGAAAGTGACTTTAAGACAACGTTGTCCTTATGTTCGGTTCTTAATATTTCATTATGAAAATAGAATTGTTCTTGGGTGAAGTTTAGTTTCAGAGTACGAGGCATCCAGAGCGTCTTTCTTTAAATGGGTTTTCGTTGGCAGGAATTTTCAAAAGGAAGGGATCTTGTAGTTGTTTTTCTTCACAGTAATGCATTAACCTGCAATTTAACAAAATGCTAATATTATTGGTGTCAAAAATTCAGTGTGTAGGAATGGTATTATCTCCCATTTCAAACTATGTCATTCACTAAACTATTATAACTTGCACATGTCAAGACACGAATATGAATACAACTTGAAAAATAAGTCTTAGACGAGAGAATGGCATGGTCTGAAATGGCAAAACATCATGTCCAAGGCAATATGTTCATAGGTTAAACCGAGGTATGTAAATATATTCTGTGGATATCACACTCTTAATATTAATGATTATTCAAAGAAATTTATAACAAAATTGGTTATTGGGTGACAACACCAATTAGTCAGCTCACCCCACAAAAACCTCACCAAAATAATAATGCTAATCGCTTTATGGATTTACTCGATTGTTTTAATCTGACTGTCCTTGATCCTGTTTCACCTACACATAAAAGTAATCACGTTTTGGATCTAATCATTACAAGATCTGATGAAAAATCTGTGACCAACCTTACTGTACACGATCCTGTTTTATCTGATCATTATGCT